CATCGGGGAGCATGCCGCGCGCGTAGAGCGAGAGGGCAGCGAACCATGGCCGACGCCGAGGCCAAGGAGCGCCTGCTCGGCCTACTGGGCTACGTCAAGGACATGAGCGCCCCGTCCGAGAGCGAGCCCTGCAAGGACCTCGCGTCGGCGCCGATCGTCGTCCACGAGGCCCTGCTCCGCGACGTCGCCGGCGCCGGGGCCGTCGAGTTCGAGGGCCCGTGCGGCGCGTGGCTGCGCGTGCGGCGGCCGGAGGCGACGGGCGCGTCGAGGCAGTCCGCCGCCGGCAAGCGCGGGGCCGCGGCGCGGTCGCTGTACGCGGAGCTCTTCGGCGCTCGGCAGGAGGCGCTCCGCGAGGGCCGCGGCGCGGCGCTCACGCTGGGCGTGGGCCTGCTGCGCTGGCCGGCGGCGGGCGTCGAGCACCCGCTCGTGCTCGTGCCGGCGTCCCTCGAGCTCGCGGCCGACGGGAGCTTCCTCGTGCGGCGCTTCGCGGGCGTCGGCGCGGCGCTCTGGCCCATGCCGGGCGTCGCGGGCGCCGGCCAGATCGTCCCGGAGCTCGAGACCTGCGGGCGCGACTACGGGCTGCTGGGCCGGCGGCGCGAGGCGCCGTCGCCCTTCGACCGGGACGCGTGGCGGCCGCTGCTGCACCGCGCCGCGCACCTGTTGGGCCCCGACGGCGTCCTGGTCGACGGGCCGCACGCGGCGCCCGTGCCCTCGAAGCCCGCCGCAGCGCCGGCGCCGGACCGGCCGACGGTGCACAACTGCGCCGTGCTCTTCTGCCGCGAGTCGGGCGCGGACCGCGCGGGCGCGCGCGACGCGGAGGCGCTCTCCGCGGCGCTCCGGCGGCGGACAGCGCCGCTGCCCGCCGCGCTCCGGCGCCTCGCGGGCGACTTCTCGGCCCCGCCGGCGCCGGCGCCGGCGGGCGTCGCGGGCCTCTGGCGGGCCGCCGCGAAATGGTGGCGCGGGCCCGCGGCGGCGGCCGCCGCGCCCGTCTACTTCGGCCTGCCGAGCAACGACGCGCAGGCGTCCGTCGTCGCGACGCTCGAGGCCAAGGGCTGCGCCGTCCTCGTCGGGCCGCCGGGCACGGGCAAGTCCCAGACCATCGCCAACGTCATCTGCCACTACCTCGCGCTCGGCCGGCGCGTGCTCGTCACGTCCAAGGGCGAGCCGGCGACGGAGGTGCTGCGCAAGAAGCTGCCCGACGGCATCCGCGAGCTCTGCGTGTCCCTGGGCTCCGGCGACGGCGGGTCCTTCCGGCGCCTCGAGGCCGCCGTCGAGTACCTCGCGGACACCGTCGCCGCGGCGCCCGACTGCGCCGGAAACAACCAGTGGAACGCCCCGTCCAGAAAAAGCTTCAAACCTCTCTATCTCGGTCAAATCGAAGTCGTTTCGGCTGATTTTTGGACGGATTGTTTTCTCTCGGTGAGTTCTCTTCAATGAGTGAAAAAACTATGTCGAAATTTCTCGAAAAGATGCACATTGAAGTCGTGTTGAATATTTTTGTTTCCTGCCCAGGCGCCCGAGCGCGAGCTCCGAGCGGCCGCGGACCGCGCGCGGCAGCGCCACGACGCGGCCCGGGCGGAGCTCGACGCCTTCGACGCCGAGGACGCCGCGCGCGCGCGCAAGTACTTCGGCCGCTCCGACCTGGCGGCGGACCTCGGCTGCCACGCGGACCACCTCCGGCTCCTCGGCCTCAGCGATGGCTCGTCCGCGCGCCACGCGGCCGAGGCCGTCGCGCGCGTCGGCGAGGCGCCCTTCCTCGCGGACGTCGACGTCGACCCGCGGCGGCCGCCGCCGGACCAGCGGCTCCTCGACGAGCTCCGGGAGCTGCGGGCGGCCGCGGCCGCGGCGCTCCGCTGGGAGCCGCAGCTCGTCGCCCGCTCCGCGCGCGCGCCCCTCGCGGAGCGCCTCGACGTCGGCGCCGCCCGCGACGCGGCGCAGCGGCTCCGGGAGCGCAACGACGTCGCGGCCCTCGTGCGCCGCGGCGACCTGCCGCGCGTCGTCGACGCGGCGGAAGCCGCGGCGTTGGCCGACGCGCTCGCGGCGGCGCGGAAGCAAGTCGAGGCGCTCGAGGCCCTCGACGGCCGGCGGTGGCTGCTCCGGCTCCTGCGCCGCGCCGACGACGACCGCGCGGCGGCGGACGTCTGCGCGGCGGCCTGGCTCGCGGGCCAGCTCGCGGCGCGCGCGGGCCGCGCGGCCGCGGCGGAGACCGAGGTGCCGCCGGTGCTGCTGCGCATGGTCTCGGCGGCGAAGCTCGACGCGCCGCTCGCCGCGCCGGCGGACGACGACGACGACGCGGCCGTCGCGGCGGCCGTCGTCGGCGCCAACGACTTCTTCGAGGAGGTCCGGTGGCGCGCGCTGAGGCCCGACCGGCGGCCGTTCCTCGCGGGTCTGGTCCGCGCGCGGCCGACGGCGACGCTCGCCGCGGAGCTCGACGAGATCACCGTCTTTGGGCGGCGGCCCAAGACGCCCAACGAGTGGGAGCTCGTGCTCGCGCGGCTCGTGCTCCGGGGCTGCGCGGAGCGGTTCCGCGAGGCGCTCGCGCGGCTCGACGGCTACGCGCGGCGGGGCGAGGGCGCGCCGCCGACGCCCGGCGCGGCCGTGCCGGCGCCGGCCGACGGGGGCGACGACGCGCTGCTGGCCGCGCGCGCGCGCGACGACCTCGCGAAACCGCTCCGCGAGCTCGCGCGGGCCTTCGGCGCCGTCGGCGGCCTGTCGAGCGGCGCGCGGCGCGCCTGCGCGTCGCCCTTCGGGGCGGACCTGGCCGACGCGGCGGCGCGGGGCGCCGCGGCGCTCGACGGCGAGCTGCGGCTCCTGCGGCGCGCGCTCAAGCCCGCGACGTCCGCGGACGCGCGCGACGCCGCGGAGCTCCAGGCGGCGCTTCTGGCGGAGCTCGGCGAGGCGCCGCGGGCCGGCGACGACGACCCGTCGCCCGTCGACGCCCTGCGAAACGCGACGGCGGCGCTCGGCGGTTTGGAGACGTCCGTCGACGACGGCGTCCGGGAGTGGCGGCGCGCGCGCGCGGCGCTCCGGGAGGCGCGCGCGGCGCTCGGCGACGTCGACAAGCTGCGCGCCTTGGCCAGGGCGAAGCTCGCGCGCATCGCGCCGGCCTGGGCGAAGCGCGTCGTGGACCACCGCCTCGGGCCGGACGTCGACGCCGTCGCGCCGCGCGACGCGCGCGTTTCCTGGGCCGCCGCGGCCGTGCGCAAGGCCCTCGGTCGCGCCCTGGAGCGCGACGGCGTCCTCGACGCGGGCCGCGCGGGCGCCGGGCGGCGCCTCCTCGCGCGGCGCGACGACGCGGTCCGGTCGCTCGTCGCCGCGGTCGCGCGGCACGCGCTCCGGGGCGCGATGGCGCCGGAGACCTGCGCGGCCCTCGTGCGCCTCGTGTCCGCCGTGGCCGCCGCGGGCGCGACGGCCGGCGGGTCCAAGGAGAGCGTGCGCGCCGCGCGGCACCGCGAGGATCTCGCGAGCGCGATGGCCGACTGCTCGGACGCGGTGCCCTGCTGGATCATGCCCACGTACCGCGTCTCGTCGTGCCTGCCGGCGACGTTGGCGTCCTTCGACCTCGTGGTGTTGGACGAGGCGTCCCAGTCCGACGTCGCCGCGCTGCCCGCGCTGCTCCGCGGCGCGCGCGTGCTCGTCGTCGGCGACCAGAAGCAGGTGTCGCCGACGTCGGCCTTCGTGTCGGAGGCCGCCGTGCGCGACCTGAAGCGGAGCCTGCTGGCGTCGGGCCACCCCTTCGTCGAGCAGGTGCTCCCGGGGCGGTCCGTCTTCGATTTGGCGCAGACGTGTTTCGCCGACGCGCGCTGCGCGCTGTCGCACCACTTTCGCTGCGTGCCCCAGTGCATCGCCTTCTCCAACGCCCAGTTCTACCACGACCGGCTCCTGCCGCGGCGCCTCCCGCCGCGGTCCCAGCGGCTCACGCCCGCGCTCGTCGACGTCAAAGTGCCGGGCGGGAAAAAGAAGGGCAAGACGAACGAGGCCGAGGCGGCGGCCGTCGTCGCCTACCTCGCGGCCCAGCTGGCGCCCGGCGGCGAGCTCGCGACGCGCGGCGCGTCGGTCTGCGTCATCTCGCTGCTCGGCGTCGAGCAGGCGCGGTCCATCCGGAGGCGCGCGCTCGAGGCGCTCACGGCCGCGCAGCTCGCGCGCCACGACGTCGTCGTCGGCGACCCGGCGTCGCTCCAGGGCGACGAGCGCGACGTCGTGCTCCTGAGCCTCGTCGCCTCGCCGAAGGAGGCGCCGGCGCAGGTGGGAAGGCTCTACGAGCAGCGGTTCAACGTCGCGCTGAGCCGCGCGCGCGACCGCGTCGTCCTCTTCCGGAGCCTCGAGCTCAAGGACGTGCCCAACGCCGACGACCTCAAGCACCGCACGCTCGCCTTCTTCCAGCGGGCGGCGGCGGCGCGGCCGCCGCGCGCCGCGCCGCGGCGGTCGCCGTCGGACGCGGCGCGCGACGACGCGCCCGGCGCCGTCCTCCGCTTCCTCGAGGCGTCGGGCTACCGCTGCGACGACCACTGCAGCATCGCGGCGTCGACGGCCGTCCTCGAGGACGCCCTCGGCGAGGACCGGCGCATCTGCGTCTGCGTCGACGGCGCGGGGTCGCTCGACGACCACCTCGCGGCCGTCAAGGAGCAGCGCGTGCTCGAGCGGAGCAACTGGGTCTTCGTGCGCCTCTGGACGGCGACCTGGGTGCTGGACCGCGAGGCCTGCGAGCGCAAGCTCGCGCTCGCCTGCATTGACGCGGGCGTGCGGCCGCGCGGCGCCGCGGCGCCCGCGCGCGCCGCGCCGCCGCCGCCGCCGCCGGCCGCGCCGCCCGCGCCCGCGCCGATGGACGACGACGACGACGACGTCGTGATCCTCGACGCGCCGCCGCCCCCGCGCGCGGCGCCGCCGAAGCGCAAGCCCGCGAAGCCCGCGGCGACGCAGGGCCCCAAGGCGAAGAAGCCCAAGTCGGCGCCGAAGGCCGCCGCCGCGAAGCCGAAAAAGGCCGCGAAGAAGCGCCGCGCCTCCGACGACGACAGCGACGGCGAGTGGGATGGCGACTAAGGAAGCTAACTACTCGCCTTCGCCCCCTTCTTCTTCTTCTTCTTCTTCCGCTTGGCCTTCGTCGGCGACGGCGGCGGCGAGTCGACGGGCGCGTCCGGGCTTTCGACGGCGTCCGCGCCCTTGAGCCCCGCGGCGCGCTGGTACGCGTCCCAGGCGTCGGCGAGGTCCGCGGCCTCGGCCGTGCGGAGCTTCGGCGGCGCCCAGGCCGGCGCGGACGCGACGCAGACGTCCGTGTCCTTGAGGACCTCCGTGCGGTACTCGTCGGCGACGGACGCGAGCGTCGAGCAGAGGAACATCTCGCGCTCGAGCATGCCCCGGACGAAGTGCGCGTCGAAGAGCTGGAGGTTCGGGTCCGGCGGCCCCGCGCCGGAGTCCACGGGCAGCCACTCGCCCTCGGCGCGGCGCCGCGCGTCGCGCGCGAGGAACTGCGTCGCCGCGGGGAGGTCCATGACCTTTTGCGCGTACACGATGTCCGCGGTCTGCAGGTCCCAGAGCGCGTCGACTCCGAGCGCGCGCTGGCCGAAGAGCGCGAGCATGGCCCTCGCGGACACCGTGAGGTCCGCGAGGTTCAGCTCGGGCACGAGGGGCGCGATGGGCACGGCCTCGCCCGCGGTCGAGCGCGGGTCGTCGACGGACTTGGGCATCGCGGGCGACACCGTGAGCAGCAGGTTGCGGCGCGCGTCGGCGTCGAGCTCGATCCAGAACTTGCTGAAGTCGTACTTGTGCGCCGCCCAAAAGTCCGCCAGCGTCACGGCGAAGGCCCGGATCATGGCCCAGCGGTCCGCGTCGGGGTCCGCCGTCAACGCGGTCCCCGCCGCGACCTTCTGCCGCGACGCCTCGGCGTCCCGCGTCGTCCAGGATGCCATGGTCTTTTTTCTCGTGCTGTGCGAGCGACGACCCCAGCAGCTTTCGTCGCGGTCGACGACCCCAGCCTCAGCGAGCACCGGTCGCCGGCGTCGAGGCGATGGCCATGCGCTCTCCCGCTGGGTTGAGAGAGCACTGCAACGAGCACTTCAACCAAACGCCTGTTACGGCGCGTCGTCGTAGCCGAAGCGGCGCGCGATGGCCGCGATGTCGGCGGCGAGCGCCGGGTCCCAGGCCCGGAGGTCGGCCCAGGACAGGTCGACGTGGGGCGGCGCGTCGTGGCGGGTCCGCCCGAGGCCCCGGAGGCCCGTCGCCTTCTTCGGCCCGTTGAGGTGGTTGTCGTAGTCGTTGTTCCAGCCGTCGCGCAAAAAGTCCTTGAGCTCCTGGCGGAGGAAGGGCAGGAGCACGCGGAGCGACGCGAAGCGTTTCCCCGCGCAGGCGCGCTTCGCGGCGGCGAGCCGCGGGTTCTCGGGCCACGGCCGGTCCGGCTGCGCCGCTGCGTCGACGACGGCGCAGGTCGCGTCCGCGTCCTCGCGGGCGACGAGGGACGCGTCGCCGGCGTCGACGAGGGGCAGCAGGGCCGCGTAGTAGGCCCGCCAGTAGCGCGCGAGCGCCTCCGCGCAGGAGACGGTCGCGAGGTGGTCGAGGTCCAGCGGCCGCGGCGCGTCGGGCCCGAGGAGCGCGGCCGCGGCCCTCGCGGGCCCGGGCACGAAGTGGGGCCCGGCGGCCGCGGCCGCGCGGCCCGTCGTCTCGGACACGGGGCAGAAGCCCGCGACGAGCGACTCGATGGTGCGCAGGGGGTGCCGCGCGACGACCACGGGCCGCGGCGCGACGGGCAGCGGGCACCGGTCGTCGTCCGCGCCGTCGTCGCGCCGGCCCGGCGCCCGCGCCGCGCAGCCCCGCATGGGCCCTAAGACATCATCACAAGTCTTCTTCCAGCACTTGGCCTGCGCCTTGCGGTCCTCGGCGTCGAGGTAGGGCGCCCACTCGGCGTCGCCGCAGACGAGGCGCTCGACGGGCGCGACGCTTTGCACGTGCCACGTGGGCCAGGGGAAGAACTCCGCGCAGAGCGGGTCCGTGCCGTTGGGGCCGACGCCCGGGTGGCGGCCGCGGACGTAGAGGAGCGCGTGGGCCCAGGACACGACGCCGTCGACGCCGTCCGTCGCCTCGTGCGACACGTCGAGGCCCTTCAGCCGGAGGCTCCGCGCGAGCGAGAACGTGCCGGAGCCCAGCGCCGCGAGGACCATGACGGACATGGGCTCGCCGGCGAACTCGGCGTCGCCGCTCAGGAGCGCGTCGACGAGGAACAGGACGAACATGACGGCGCCGACGGCCCGGACGGGCCAGGGCAGGTCGCGGAGCCAGGAGCAGCGCGGCGGCTTCCGCCGCTTCTTGGGCTCCTCGGGCGGCGGCGCCCAGTTCCCGCCGAACTGCTGCTCCATGCGCAGCAGCGTCGGCGTCGTCGTCGGCTGGACCCTCATGTGCATGCACCGCACCGCGGGGCAGCCGCTCGCGGAGATCGATGGCACAGCGCTTCCTGCCCGCGGTTTTATTTTCAGCTAACATATGCATCAACTTGATGATCAAGAACCTGTTGCGGCAAATTCCTGTCGCAGCCGATGCGTAGCTGCGCTCGGCCCCGCCGTAGAGGACCTGGATCGACGACGCGCTGCGCCATCGAGGCCGCGTAGAGGACCTGGATCGACGACGCGTCGAGCGCGCTCGCGTAGACGTCGAGCCATGACGGGCGGCCACCAGAGAATGGCCCTCGCGTTCGCCATCGCCGCGTCCGCGCTCGCGCGGCCCGTCTGCCGCGACGAGCACGCGGAGTGCGCCAACTGGGCGCGCCTCGGCGAGTGCGACGCGAATCCGAACTACATGCACGAGTCCTGCGCGCCGGCCTGCGGCACCTGCGGGTCGCGCGTCGACGCTCTGGGCTTCACGGTGGACCTCTGGGCCGAGGAGATGAACGGCCACGACCGCGACACCTTCGCGAACAACGCGCGCATCAACCGGGACCAGCCGCCGACGGTGCCCGCGTTCACCGACGTCGGGTTCGCCGTCCGGCCCATCCCGCGGGACGTCCACGCGGCGCTCCTCGCCGCGCGCGACGACAAGGTCGCGCGCGGCGACCTGCGCGCGAAGGCTGCGTCCGCGGCTACATCAACAACTGCGGCGCGCACCCCACGTACTCGCTGCCCGTGCCGCCCAAGGTCCGGACCCAGGTGAACGACGCGTGCCGGGCCATCCTCGAGGCGTGGATCGGCCCCAAGTGGGGCGGCCTCGTGCCGACGTCCGTCTACGGCATCCGGCGCTACACGAACGGGTCGACGCTCCAGGCGCACGTCGACGTCGTCGCGACGCACGCGGTCAGCGCGATCCTCAACGTGGACCAGGACGTCGACGAGGACTGGCCGCTCCAGATCCGGGACCACGGCGGCGACGTGCACGCGGTGGTCATGAAGCCCGGCGAGATGGTGCTCTACGAGTCCAGCAAGAGCATCCACGGCCGCCTCGTCCCGCTCAACGGCGCGTCCTACGACAACATCTTCGTCCACTTCCGGCCGCGGCTCGGCTGGGACCGGTTCACGGGCGTGCCCAACGGCGCCGTGCTCAGCGACCACATCGAGCTGTAAGACCAGTTTACTCCTCGTTGAGGTAGCCCGTGATCTTCTCGAACTTCTGGACGGGCCACGCCTTCTCGGACTCGAGCTCGACGTAGACGGGGTCGCAGAAGAACTCGATGTACTCCGCGAGGGAGAACCACTTGTCGCTCTTGGAGAAGGCCGTGAGCTTCTCGTGGCTCGGCACGTAGTCCGCGCAGGACTTCATCGCGTCCTTCTCGTTGCGCTTGAGCATCGTCTCGTTGATCTTGAGGAGCGCGGTGTAGACGTCCCACGCGAGGTCGCAGGCGTCGGCGTCGGCCTCGACCTCGAAGTCCTCGCGCTTCGACGCGACCTTGCAGGCCTTCCAGTCCTTGAAGTAGCGCTCGGGGCAGTCCTCGGACTGGAAGATCACGCGCGTCGTCGCCGCGTCGAGGAAGGGCAGCTCCTTTGCCCGCTTGAGGAACTCGAGCGCGTTGGGGCACTTGGTCTCGAAGACGTGGACGACGGCCGTCGCGTGGACGAGGAGCAGGCCCGTGGCCTCCATGTCCGGGTGGCCCTCGTAGACCGACGTTTTTTCTTCTTCTTTCAGCGCGGCCCAGATCTGGCCGTGCGCTCTCACGCAGGCCTCCTGGCTCGTGCCCTCGGCGAGGGACGCGGCGTAGACGATGCGGCTCACGGACGCCCGCGGCTTCGCCTTCTGCATCTCCTGGATGACCTCGTAGGCCGACATGCCCAGCATCTTCTTGAGGTCGCTCGTCGGCGCCTTCTCGTCCGCCTTCGCACCGTCCTTCTCGCCGGCCTTGGCCGGCGCCGCCTTGGCCGGCGCCGCCTCCGCCATGGTGGTGGCGAGGGGCGACGACCACTCGCAGGCGCCGCTGCGGGCGCTCTACAGCTCGTTACCGCGCGCTTTGACAGGGGTCAACATGAAGATTGGTGCAGGTGAACATTGACCCTGCTCTTTGCGTCGCGAGCTTATGGGAGTCGCGTGCTGATCGCGTAAGGAATTCGACGCGCGCCCCCGGCTCCGCGCCGCACACCCCACCGCCATGGACGCGACGGCCGAGGCCCTCGCTCACGACACGTGCCTCGAGTTCGAGCTCCCCCGCGGCGCCATCGCCAAGGCCGTGGCCAAGTGGTTCGACGGCGTGGGCAAGGACGACCGCGTCCACGCGGCCATCGCGCGCGCCGGCGGCCTCTTCAGCCTCTACCTGACGGCGGCGGCGGTGCAGATCTGCAAGGACAACAAGCGCCAGACCATCTCGCCCCAGGACGTCGTCGTCGCGCTCAAGTCGCTCGACTTCGACAAGGACTTCGTCGCCGAGTGCGCGGGCTTCCTCGAGCGCGACCGCGAGCAGCGGCCCAAGCACGCGCCGACGCTCAAGAAGTACCGCGGCGTCTACCAGGGCTCCATCAACGCCTGGTACTCCCAGATCTCCATCGCGGGCCAGCCGATCCACCTCGGCTCCTTCGCCGCGCCCGAGGACGCCGCGCGCGCCTACGACCGCGCGATCTGGTCCAAGCTCGGCACGGCCGCCGCGAGCCTCCTCAACTTCCCCGACGACATCCCCGAGTCCCTGCCCTACCTCAAGGAGCAGCTCAAGGAGCAGGAGGCCGCAAAGGCCGCGGAGGCCGCGAAGGCGTCGACGCCCGCCTAAGGCACGGAGGCGCGAGTTTTCCGGCCGGCTCGCCGTCGCGGGCCGGGGCCGGGGCGTTATTGACGCTTCCACGCGGGACGGAGCTTCAACATCACAGATATGGGTTGAACAAGCAGTTTTTTGGTGGTGTCAGCCTGGGCAGCATGGATGCCGAGACGCCGCTGGTCGTGAGGCCGGAGAAGAAGGGGCCCATCGCGCCGGAGGCCGCCGCGCCCCCGCGGCGCCGCGGCGTCGCGCCGGAGGCCGCCGCGGCCCCGCGGCGCCGCGGCGTCTGGAAGGCGAGCCTCGTCGCCGTCGCCGTCGTCTTCGGCGTCGCCGCCGTGGGCTGGTCGCGCCAGGGCGGCGACGACTTCGAGTTCCGGCTCGTCGGCGTCGACGACGACTTCGATACGGGCCTGCCCGGCGGCGCCTGGGGCGAGAAGCTCTACGAGTGCAAGAACGGCGAGCCCACGGTGCCCAAGGAGTACAAGAAGGGCGACTGGGGCTCCATCGCCGGCGACTGGTACGTCATCGCGGGCAACGTGCCGCGGTCCGACAACGCCGTCGGTTCTCGTGCCAGAGCAGGAAAAGAGTGATTCAACGTCACTTCAATGTGAGGGTTCCGCGCGATTGTTCGAGAGAAAGGATCCACGCTTCGAGAGCGCTCCGAGAGATGATCGCTCGTCCAAGAATCAACCGGAACGAGTGGAACATGACCGAGATAGGAGCCTTTGAAGTTGGGAATTTCGCACTCTTTTCCTGCCCAGGCTCGTGCCCGCAGATGAAGTTCGAGCTCCCGGACAAGGGCGCCCACGTCATGAACCAGGAGATGATGTACACGTCCGAGGGCACGAACTACTGGTGGAACTACACGGGCAACTACCAGCTCGACGACTACAAGGGCGTGTGGAAGAACGAGGATGGGGACGGCACGAACACGGACATGTACTCGCGCTTCTGGAGCTCCGTCTTCGCCGTCGGGACCTACAAGGGCGAGAAGTGGTTCGGCTTCTACTTCTGCGGCCCCGCGGTGACGATCACGCGCAAGGGCATCCCGTGGATCCTCAAGGAGTCCTACGAGTACGACAAGAAGTTCGAGAAGCTCGTCAAGAAGGCCATGGTCGCCGCCGGCGTGCTCAAGGACGGAGACGTCTACTACTACAAGCAGGAGGCGAGCTGCGACTACACCTGGTTCCACACGGGCGACGACGTCGAGAGCATCCACGGCTCGCTGGTCCAGTACTACGAGGAGCGAAACGAGACGACCACGGAGGACAACTCGAGGAGTACGCAGTAAAAGTGTGGTTGTTTCTTGGCGCGTGTGTGCTGCTACGGTGGGGGTGCTGCCATCCCTGCTCACGCGGGCGGCGGCGAGGCCTGCAGCCTGAGCGGACCGGCAAGGGGATTAAGAGAGTCCCCCTTGGACAGAGCTCGCGCGGCCGTCCATCGTTAAGTTGCATCCCCAGGCTTAATAGAGTTCCCCTTGGGACCGGCGCGAGAGTGCAACTTGCTATGTTGAAAAGTGCACATCTTGCCGGTGGCAAAAACAATCGCAGATTTAAGATAGCTCGCGCCAGCCGCGCGGTCGAGCAGCCGAACGCACCACCATGCCCGCCCGCGGCGCGACCATCGCCAAGTGCCTCGCGTCCTTCGACGTCGACAGCGCCAGCGCCTTCGCGGCCTGCGGCAACATCGAGGACGAATTCAAAGTCATCAAGAAGGCCTACCACCGCAAGATCCTCGTGGCGCACCCCGACAAGGGCGGCGACGCGGCAACTTTCCGCGAGGTCAACGCGTCCTTCGAGGTGCTGCGCGGCTACTTCGACAAGAAGAAGGTCGACTCCTTCGCCGTCGAGAAGGACACGCGCGCGGACTTCGACCGCGAGGCGACGGCCTTCGAGGCCGCCGAGGCCGCCGAGGGCGGCTTCAAGAGCTGGGACTTCTACTACGAGGCATCGAACTGGGACGTGCCGACCTACCGCGTCGAGCCCGCGCGGTCCGACCGGTCCAAGTGCGTCAAGACGCACGAGCCCATCCCCAAGGGCGCGGTCCGCGTCGGCTCCATGAACGAAGAGAGCGGCTCCTACGGCCGCTGGAACATCCTCGCGGCCTGGCGCGTGCCGAGCCGCGTCTGGGAGGGCCTGCCCGCCGACGGCGACGCCGCGGCCTTCGAGGCCGCGCTCGCGCGCATGAACGAGGTCACGATCTGCGGCGTGTCGGAGCTCAACGACGCGGACCGCGCGGCGTTCGTGGCGCACTGCATGGACAAGTCGACCTGGGCGAAGCTCACGAAGCGCCGCGCGCCGCCGCCGGCGGGCGCGGCCGCCGCCGCGGCCGCGGCCGCGCCGCCGCCGCCGCCGGCCGCCGCCGCGGCGGGCGCCGTCGTCGTCGCGGGCCGCCAGCACTTCGTCGTGCCGCGGCCCGCGGACTCCGTCGCGCCCAACTGCCTCGCGGGCAAGACCTGCGTCATGACGGGCGTCTTCCCCGAGGTCGGCGGCGGCGCGGGCCTCAACCTCGGCAAGGACCGCGTCAAGGCCATGGTCGAGTCCTTCGGGGGCCGCGTCACGGGCTCCGTGTCCGGCAAGACGGACATCCTCATCGTCGGCAAGGAGCCGGGCATGTCCAAGGTGAGCAAGGCGCGCGCGGCGAACGTCACGCTCATGTCGATCCACGACCTCCGGCTCGGCATCGAGGGCGGCGACGTCGACGCGGCGGCCAAGCCCATGGAGATCAGCTCCTTCTCCGCGGGCTTCCGCGGCAACGGCCTCGCCGCGCTCGCGTCCGACCAGGACTACGCCGCGGCCGCGGGCACGGCGCCGGCGGCGCTCCCGGCCGCGCCCGCCAGGGCCAAGGCGCCCGCGAAGGCCAAGGCCGCGCCGGCAAAGAAGAAGACGGTCACGAAGGCGAAGGCGAAGGCGAAGCCGCCCGCGGCCAAGAAGCCCGCGGCCAAAGCGCCGAAGCGCGCCCCGAAGCGCGCCGCGCCCGAGCCCGAGCCTGCCGAGGCCGTCGCCACGGTCTCGAAGCGCGGCCGCGTCCGCAAGGCGACGAAGCGCTGAGCGAAGCCGCTGTGTCCCCCGCGGCCGGCCCTCGCGCCGCCGCGTGTCTGTGCCCCCGTTCGCCCCTGGCAAGTAAGAGTCCAAGGCCCTCGGTTGGGCCCCGGGCCGAGCGCTAGCGCGCAGCCGCTCCGAGTCCGGCGGCGCTTGGCCGCCCGGGGGTCCACAGGCGGGTCGCGAGCGGGTCGATCGAGATCGGTCCATCTGGCTCTGCGCGCGCGCCCTTCGCGTCGTGACACCCGCCGACCCCTCCGGCCAGCACAGCGCGCACGAGCGCGCGCAGGACACCGCTCGAGCGCGCGCGCACCGCCGCTCTCCAGCATGGCGCCGCGCGGCGCGACCATCGCGAAGTGCCTCGAGTCCATGGACGTCGACAGCAGCAGCGCATTCGTTGCCTGCGGCAACATCGACGAAGAATGGAAACTCGTCAAGAAGGCCTACTACAAGAAGATCCTCGTCGCGCACCCGGACAAAGGGCGGCGACGTGTGGCGCGGCGTTTCCTCCCTTTTTCCTGTGCGCGTCATCTTCCGTCTTTAGGCCGCGGCGTTCCGCGAGGTCAACGTCGCGTTCGAGGTGCTGCGCGGCTACTACGACAAGAAGAAGGTCGGCTCCTTCGCGACGGCGGCGAAGAAGGAGACGCGCGCGGACTTCGACCGCGAGGCGACGGCCTTCGAGGCCGCCGAGGCCGCCGAGGGCGGCTTCAAGAGCTGGGACTTCTACTACGAGGCCGCGGCGGCCGAGGTGCCGCTCTACCGCGTCGAACCGGCCCGGTCCGACCGGTCCACGTGCGTCAAGACGCACGAGCCCATCCCCAAGGGCGCGGTCCGCGTCGGCTCCATGAACATGGAGGCCGGGGCCTACGGCCGCTGGAACATCCTCGCGGCCTGGCGCGTGCCGAGCCGCGTCTGGGAGGGCCTGCCCGACCCGGCGTCGCCGCTGACGACGCCCGCGCTCGTCGAGGCGGCGCTCCTGCGGCTCAACGAGGTGCTCCTCTGCGGCGTCGGCGAGCTGAGCGATGAGGACCGCGCGGCCTTCGTGGCCCACTGCATGGACAAGGGCCACTGGGCGAAGCTCACGAAGCGGCGCGCGCCGCCGCCCGCGGCGCCCGCGGGCGCCGCCGCCGCCGCGGCGGCCTTCGCCGCGGAGAACGCGCCGCCGGCGCCGGCCGCGGCCGCGGCGGGCGCCGTCGTCGTCGCGGGGCGCCAGCACTTCGTCGTGCCGCGGCCCGCAGACTCCGTCGCGTCCAACTGCCTGGCCGGCACGCGACCCCGCGTCCGACGACCGCTTTTCATTTCGTAGCAACCCTGTCGTTCCTCGTAGGCAAGACCTGCGTCCTGACGGGCGTCTTCCCCGAGGTCGGCGGCGGCGCGGGCCTCAACCTCGGCAAGGACCGCGTCCGCGCGATGGTCGAGTCCTTCGGGGGCCGCGTCACGAGCTCCATCTCCGGCCGGACGGACATCCTCATCGTCGGCAAGGAGCCGGGCATGTCCAAGGTGAGCAAGGCGCGCGCGGCGAACGTCACGCTCATGACGCTCCACGACCTCAAGCTCGGCATCGAGGGCGGCGACGTCGCCGCGGCCGTCAAGCCCGTGGAGATCAGCTCCTTCTCCGCGGGCTTCGGCGGCAACGGCCTCGCCCTGCTCGCGTCGGACGCGGACCTCGCCGCCGCCGCGGGCACGGGCGCGCCCGTCGCGCAGCCCGTGCTGCCGCTGACGGCGGCGGAGCTCAAGCCCGACGTGCACCTTGCGCAGAGCCTCAAGGAGATGACGGCGCTCCGCGGCTACGTCGGCCGCGGCGCGGCGTCCGTCGTCGCCCACGGCGCCTGGAACGAGGACGAGGAGGCCATCGCGGACGCCGTCGGCTGCGACCCGGCGGAGGTCGTCGCCTACGGCAAGTACGCCAAGTGCAACGGCAAGGCCCTGGGCGACGTGCTCGGCGCGAACAAGCAGTTCAAGACGGGCAAGAAGGACGAGCTCGTGGCCAAGGTCGTCGACGCCGCGGCGTTCGGCGCGCCGGCGCCCTGCGACGTCTGCGGCAAGGGCAAGCCCAAGGCCGCGGGCCCGGGCCGCTGGCAGTGCGGCGGCTACTACGACGAGATGCAGATGCGCTACGTCCGCTGCTCCGGCAGCTGGGCCTCCGCGGACCTCGCGCGCTACCAGTGGCTCGACGCGTCCAAGGGCTACTGCGGCGCGGCCAACGGCGCGGCCGTGGGCTTCGCGCCGGGCACGCAGGCCTGCGCGCCCTGCGCCGCGGCCGTCGACGCGCTGCCTGCGCCGCCGAAGGTGAAGAAGGCGCCGCCGAAGAAGAAGCCCGCGCCCACGTACGTCGAGGAGGAGGTCCCGCTCGACGACGACGAGGCCGACGACGACGTCGCGCCGCCGAAGCGCGCCGCCGCGCGCAAGAAGGCGAAGGCGCCGGCGAAGTCGTCGAAGAAGACGGTGTCCAAGGCCAAGGCATCCGCGAAGAAGCCCGCGGCCAAGCCCAAGGCCAAGGCGGCGCCGAAGGCCAAGGCGGCGCCGAAGAAGCGCGCCGCCCCGAAGAAGCGCGCCGCGCCCGAGCCCGAGCCCGAGCCCGTCGAGGCCGTCGTCACGGTCTCGAAGCGCGGCCGCGTCCGCAAGGCGACGAAGCGCTGAACGCGCGGCTTCCCCCGCGCGGCCGCCGGAGGCGGCCGCGCTTGTGACGACCCGCGCGGGCGACCCGCCGGGCTGTGCTGACTGCTGCTTGTGAACCGACCCCTGTGAACCCCCCAAAAGTCTGTGCACTTGTGACCCCCCCCCGGGCTGTGATGACTGCTGCTTGTGAACCGACCCCCGCGGGCTGTGAACGAACCCGCCGGGCTGTGCTGAAGACCCGCGGGCTGTGGAACCCGCGGGCTGTGGTGCTTGAACCCCCCCCCCCTTGTAAACCCGAGCTCTCCCAAGACCGGTCAATTATCGGGCGCCTTGCGCTTCCTCGGCGCGGCCGCGGCCGCGAGGCGCCGCCGGAGGTCCGGCTCCGCGTCCGCGTCGACGAAGAGGCAGCGCTTCCGCGCGCTCTTCCAGTGGACGCGGGCGTCGAGGTCGCGGGCGGCGTCGAGGGCCGCGTCGTAGAGCGCGTCGGAGTCGAGCGCGACGAGGACGCCGTCCGTGAACGCGACGCGGTTGCCCTCGCCGGCCCAGAGCGCCATCTGGTCCGTGACGTTCTGCGGGACGCCCGACGCCTTCATGGCCGGGTGCGCGTGGGCCCGGAGGAACTTGACGATCTGGGGCACGCGGATGCCGCGGTCGACGCAGCGCTTGATCGCGTCGCGCGAGATCGTGCCGACGACCAAATTCGGGAGCCGCGTCGTGAGCTCCGCGAAGAGGTTCAGCGTCGCGAGGACGAGCGTCGACGTGTTGACGCCCGCGTCCGTGTAGGCGAGGACCTGGAAGTTCGTCTGGACGATGACGTCGACGGGCCGCCGGAAGTCCCCGCCGGCCCGCGCGCCGCCCGCGGACCGCCGCGCGCCGAAGGCGACGTCGACGCCCAGCGTCGTCGGGTAGAAGCGCGACGAGCTCGCGTTGCGCCGGTAGACGAGGCCGAGCGCGAAGAGGACGTCGAGCGCGGCCTTCTGCGCCTCCGAGAGCTCGTGGATCGCGTAGCCCTCGCCGGGCGTCGCGTAGGCGAGCGTGAGCACGAGCGCGACGACCTCGCCCTTGGCGTCGCCCGCGGCGCGGATGTACTCGTCGACGAGGGCCCAGACCTGCTCGTGGCGCTCCTTGAGCAGGAAGTCGACGCCGCGGCCCGTGACCTCGACGTCGCCTCCGTCGCCGACGGCCGCCATCAATCCCGCGGATTCTAAAAACCGCGGCACGCAGGGCGGCGGCACGGCCGACTCGTCGAGATCCGTGCCGATGAGGAAGAGCAGCACGTTCGTCCAGCGCCAGACCGTCCACTGCGCGAGCTGCTCACCCGTCGGCTTCCGCTTGTCGGCCTTGAGCGGCTCGCGCGCGCGCCAGGGCTCGGCCGTCGCGCCGCCGAGCGCGCGCCGCAGGTTCCGGAGGAAGGCCGGCGCGAGGCACAGGCGCCGCTCGGCCCCGGCGCCCGCGGCGCCGCCGAGCTCGACGCAGCGCAGCGCCTCGAGCGTCGCGACGGCCTCGGCGAAGACGTCGCCGCGGTCGGCCGCGACCCAGCGCCGCGCGAGGCCCAGGGCGCAGCCGCCGGCGCCGCAGGTCGCCAGCCGCAACACGATCTGCTGCTCCACGGGCGGCAGCATGCCGAAGACGGCGCGCACGGTCCACTCGTTGCCGCAGTAGACGCTCGCCGTGCCCGAGCCCTCGCCGCCGCCGTAGAGCAGCAGGAGCGAGTGCTCGTCGAGGGCGCGCACCACGGACAACGACAGGGACGACATGGCGGCGCGACGGGGCTCGATCAACGACGTCGGCGAGCCGCTGCAGAGGGTCCTACCGCTGGCACATCGCGAGGGGACGGCAAGACCTGTTACCCCTCGCGAAGCGGCCCGGATCCCTTGTCCTCATGGCTGTGGCAAGAGATTGCCGGCGCCCGCGCACCGCGCGTGCGCCCCCGTGAGCCCCCGCGCGGGTTACGCTGTTGTCTGTGACCTATGGGCCGTCCGTAACCAGCTTTTTGGCTCCAGAAAAGACGCGCGCGTGCGTCTACAGCGTGGGCCCCAAAACGCCGTAATCCAGCGGTCCAGCCATGCGGCGGTGAATCGATGAGTTCTCGGGCGCTCTTGCGACCGGATGCTCGCCATCATGGTGCGAGTCGATGGTGCGACGCATCTTTGGTCGCGCGCCGATTTTTGGGCGCCTCGCGAATGTCCGCCGGGCGCCGAAGCGCTTCGACCGAAAACGCGAGCCGCGGTGCGCCTGTGGCCGCTGGCGGCGGTCTGGATGTCGTCGAAGGCGTGGACCATACGTTACGAGCGGGCGAAGGCGTCGGAGTCGCCCCGGGTTGCGAAATCGGCGTGCGAGAGGTTGTTCTGGTCAAAAGTGGCCTCAAATAGCCCGAAAACGAATGATTTCGGCGCCAAACGCAGCGTTTCGCGTTGACCGATCACCGTCGCTGTGTTCCGCCGGGCGGTTCGACATCATAGAGCTCCTGCACGGCGATCTACACCGTCTCCGACGCCCACAAGGTCCCCGACACTTGCCGAAAGCGTCTCGGCCGAGAAGCGGCGAA